ATGCGTGTTCCCAAGAAAATTAAAAAGCATGTACCAATGACTGAAATGCGTGTTCCCAAGAAAATGCATGGGAAATTGATAATTAATCTCAGTCATCCATTATGTGTAGTTGGTGTACGTTAATGATGTTTCGTAAAATATATCAAGTGTTTCAATTTATAATATTAATGTTTCATATATATTATTGTTTGTTTCATATAGTTGGGCTTTATATGAACTAGGTTCACTGTGATTTCTTATACCTTATTGATGTTTCAAAAAACATACCTTATGTTTCATTTTATACTACTAATGTTCCATAAAATATATGTATTATTTCATATACTAATGATATTGTTTTATGGGACAATAGTTCATATTTCTGGAACAATATAAATAATATCCGAATGAAATATTATATTATGTATAAAATAATATCATTAGTATATGAAACAATACATATATTTTATGGAACATAAGTAGTATAAAATGAAACATAAAGTATGTTTTTTTAAACATCAATAAGGTATAAGAAATCACAGTAAACCTAGTTCATATATAGCCCAACTATATGAAACAAGCAATAATATATATGAAACATTAATATTATAAATTGAAACACTTAATATATTTTATGAAACATCATTAACGTACACTTCAACTACATTTTAACTTAACGTTGACAACACAATTCAATGTAACATTACATTTTTTAATTGAAACAGCGACAAGTCTTTTTGAAACAATAATAACATCTTTTGAAACATCTCAAAATTATAACTTTAATACAATAAAATAAGTAATTAATACTATTCCAATTGGATGATATGCCCGTTATTGTCAATACAATTTATATTGTTCCAGAAATATGAATTATTGTCCCATAAATATTATATATTGTTCCATATATAAGAACTAGTGTTCCAATTACATGATATGCCCCTAGTTTTCGAATTTTAAATATGTCGTTCCAAAATTTTCAACTATTGTACCACATACAGATTTGCTCTTTTTTTGCACTACTTCGAAAATTCTACCAAAAAAATATCAAACGAACTCCAAAAATTCTGAAATTTTTTATGCTTATTCTACACAAAAAAATAAGTAGATTCAAAAAAAGAATCGCTTCAAAAGGGTTTTTATGAGAGAGAAATATTCATTTGAAATCCATCTTTTCAGATTAACTCCTTTTTTGCACTACTTCGAAAATTCTACCCAAAAAAATATCAAACGAACTCCAAAAATTATGAAATTTTTTATTCTTATTCTACACAAAAAAATAATCAAATTAAAAAACAAATTCGCTTTAAAAGCTTTCTTTATGAGAGAGAAATATTCATTTGAAATCTGCCTTCATTTCTCTCTCTTCAATGGCTAAATTAAAATGAAACCAGATTTTTCATTTTTTCTCTCTTCAATGGCTGAATCTCTTGGTTTTATAGTACATAAATCGGTGTTTCAATGCAGAAAATAAGGAAAAAAAAATTAAAAAGCATGTACTAATGACTTAAATGCGTGTTCCCAAGAAAATGCATGGTAAAGTGATAATTAATCTCAGCCATCCATAATCTCAAAATTGATGGTGTGAGATTGGTTCTTATTTTAAGAGGGTTCTCACCTAAGGGGTGGGTTCTCACATGATCCCTCCCCCATATATATATATATATATATATATATATATATATATATATATATATATATATATATATATATATATATACACATATATATATATACACATATGTATATATATACATATGTATATATGTATATATATATACATATATATATATACATATACATATATATACATATATACATATACATATATATATATATATACATATATATATGTATACATATATATATATATATATACATATATATATATATACATATGTGTGTGTGTATATATATATATATATATATATATATATATATATATATATATATATAATTCAAACAAACCGTGCATCGCACGGGCTTCATCTAGTATAATATAAAAGAGTGATATATGTGTTATATTTTCCTTGTAGGCAAATGCACAGAGTATCGTGCATACGTTTTTTTGTTTTTGTTTTTTTTTTAAGGCGGAATGAACATTAAGTTGTTTTGTAATGAACATATATCAGTTTTGTAAAGAATATATAGCTATTTTATAAATAACATTTTTTTTTTGTAAATCCAAAGAACAACTGTAATAATAAATAATATGAATATATTAAAGAACATTATTCATATAGTAAATGTAAATTTGGTATAAAAAGATCATGCAAATATATGAAAAAGAATATTTTACTATATTATAATGTATCTTGTCAAAAAAAAAACACTATATTTAATGGACATTGTATTATTCCGATCTACAACGTATTTTGAATTTGTCTTTTTCTTCTTCCAAAATGTATTAAGTGGTCATTCTTTTTCAAGAACTTCATTTTATTTCTCATTGTAACAGCAAAACCAAATAAATCACAAATTAATTCCCAATAGAACCAAAAATTACAATTTTCAACCAAACTTATAAAAACAAACACTCAAACTCAAAATAAACTAGTATGAATGTCAAATCTGATTTTACCTTTCGTTTATATCTGTCATCTTGAACAAATTTTGGACTTTGAAATTTTGCTAGAGGTTTGAGGAATTTAAATGAGTTTGGAGTTTGTTTGGAGAGAGAGAAAGTGAACTTTTGGTAAAAAAAAAATTATTAAAATGATTTGTAATTAACGTATGGTAAAAAAAATAATTACAGTACTATTTATCTATTTTCTTATATACAAAATTTCTTTCAAAAAAAAAAATTACAAAATTGTTGCACAAAAAACTCGTGTACATTATAAATGAACACTATGTTCTTTTCTATATATGTCCATGTACATTATAAATGAACACTATGTTCTTTTATATGCTCATGTACATTAGAATATACCTGCATGTACATTCCGCATTTTTATGGTAGTTTTGGGGCGGGTGCACTATACGGATAGTGCATCCTCCTACACGACCACACTTTGTACATGTACATTAAAGGAAGTGTCACACCGCTTTAAAGTGTTGAATTGTAAAAAAAAGGTACTCCCTCCGTCCCTTTTTTACATTCCTGTTTGTGAAATTACATGGGAATTAAGGAACTAAAAAATAAACAAATAACAATAAAACAAAACACAATGGGAAGTACAAAACATTAAATGATGTCTTTGAGTAAATAAAGATTGATTAATATTTAATGATGTCATGTCATCAATCAAGACCAATAACATACTCCTATTAGATATTAAGAATTAATCATATCTATCTATCTATATTATAATTACGGAGTCGTTTTCACCACAACCCTCCGAATCCCCAATCCTCAAATCTCATGCATTTAGGTTTTTTTTTTTTTTTTTTAAACCACTAAAAAAATTAAAAAATTAAAAAAAAATTAAAAAAAACCACTCAAAAAAAATTACATTTAGTTTTTTTTTTAATCGATAAATACCATTCCACTAAAAACCAAAACAAAAATACGGAGTATATATCAATAACTACCCAGGCAACTTTTTTTTTGCTTTTTTTTCGCATTTTTTCAATGGATTGCAATAACTAATAACAATTCAATTTTTCTTAAACACTACTAACATTTCACTTTGTGTTATTTTCTTTCGTGTATAATATGTGTCGTGTATTAGCACGGCTACAGGGATATACAATTAATTTATCAACAATTCACCATAGAACTCAAAATCCCCAACCCTTCAATTCAAACAACTTCCACTTCTCTAATCATCAAAACAAAAATATGTACAACACGCTTTTTGCGTAACTGTCCTCATCGAATAGTTGCTTGCAAAAGAAAATAACCATATGACACTAACCGAGTAACCTCTATAGCTTTGACAAAGTGACCCCCGTAATAACTTGACACATTTGCGTGACCACCCACATATAAGAGTAAGGTTTTGTTCTTTTGAGTTTATGATCAATAGAATAGAGCACATCATATTGCAAAAGGGTAGAGCAGGTGACCGTAGTAGAGTAGAGCAGGGCTTAACAGAGTTTATCAGAGTTTAGCAGAGTAGAGCCAGAGTAGACCATAAATAGTTCAAAATATTACATCTAAATCAACTTCCCATAATTAAAATAAATTTTTTCGTATATTATATAATTAAAATCTTTCTAATATAATATATATCCCGTGCATTTTGCACGGGTACCCTCTAGTTTATCTAAATTTAGGAGTGAGAATAGGAAAGTAAGAGTGAAAAAATAAGAGTGAACATTAATTACATAACAGAAAAAGAGTACCCTAAAGATAAGGTCATTTGTGAACAATTACCCAAATTTTTTATTTGTTTAGAACTACCCACAAGTTTGAAAACATTTGGGTAACACTACCCATTAACATTTTCCGTCAAATTAATACGTTACCGGAGCCCACTTTTTTCACTTTTTCCACCCAATTAACTCTCCCAGTTTGTATAAAGGTTTTAATTTACCTTAATTAACCTAATTAAGGTTTAATTAGAATTCATTTTAGGGTTCATGAGTTTAGTATTATTTGGGGATTTTGAATTCTAAGGTTTGGTGGTTTAATTGAATTGGGGTTTTTGCTTATTTTAGCATTAATTGGCCATTGTAATTGATAAAAGTGAAAAATATAGCCAAAATAATGTTTTAATTGGACAGAAAACGTTAGTGGGTAATTCTACTCAAACGTTTCCAAACTTGCGGGTAGTTCTAAACAAATAAAAAAAAATTGAGTAGTTGTTCACAAATAACCCTATCTTTAGGGTAGTTTTACACAAAATTTCCTAATTTGAGATATTTGGGAAAAAAAATACTTACTAAAAAAGGAAAGGAGGAATGTAATTTTAAAATACCTAAAAAGAAAGTAGGAATGTAAAAAAGGGGCGGAGGGAGTAATAATTTTTCTTTTGCTGCTCAAGACTCATGAGGGGCTAGCCCCCCCCCCCCCAAAAAAAAATAAAAAAGAAAAAAAAAAGAAAAAAGAAAAAAGAAAGTTAGTGATTAATTGTTCGGTAAATAGTTGCTTATTAACAATTCACATTTTCTACATTATAAGAGAAGATATACATCATCTGGGATTTAGAGCAATATATGGGCATTGCACTTAATTTTCAGCCACTGGGCGGCAAACCCAAAAATTCATAGTAAAAGATGAATCCAATGACAGATCTATACTGACCATTTTGCTTATACTAAACCTACTGCTGTATAACTTTTGCATTTCATGTATAAAATTTAACCAAATACATCATTCTGCTATTTTTCTTACAACAACAATTGAATCTGCTGATAGAAAGCTTAGACTACATGACTTTGTAGGGAAGATATAATCAAACTAACTCCTTTTATTAAACTCGGAAAGAGTTACGAACCTTTGAGACAGGAGTATATCTTTATTCTTCATCCCTGTACATATGCCAAAACCAATAAAATTTTACCCCATTTTCATTGAAGAAAGTTTAATATATATACCTGTATCTGTATACAATATGGCCCCTGTCATCTGTCAAACAACTATAATTATGGATTTATGGTTGAGACATCTTGTGCTCATAGAGTCTCTTAGCTTCTTCGATTTTAATCTGTAGCTCCGTATACATATTCAGAGAATGATCTGAAAATTTACATAGCTCGTTGAGAAAATGGACAAAACTTAGTTGGAATCGATCATAGCCTGTATTCCACTCCTCAAAGCCTTCATGAGTACGCATTTCAACCACAGGTGGTGTTTCTTTGAAGGTCCTTTTCCCGTGGACTTTCTCTTGGTGAGGAATGAAGTGTGATATTTCGGTTGCTAATCCGTTGATTTTATCTGCCACTTCCGTCACTTGCAAATCTTTGAGTGAGTCATGCCAAGCACCACAGATGGTATATATTGGAGGGCCTGCAGACCTCAATCTCCGCTCTGGTGGAGGCCCCCACCTTCGCTTCTTTGAAGATGCCTCCTGAACAATGACACATTTGTTTAACCATTCATTAATTGCCTGGATGTAAGACTTCAGAGCATTGATCCATTTGGTGAAACTCAAGGACAGTTTGTGCAATTCGTCTTCAAGTTGGAGAGTGATGTAACGACGTGATTCTGATTGTAAGGATAGTTTCACGTTTCCATTTATGAATGCAATAGTAACTATATGCACCTGTAGCTTGTGGCATTCAAACATCACTCCCCACATTCTTCGTAATCTGTCATGAAATGAACCTTGTGAGAAAAGCATTCAAACCAAGGAAAAACAGTTGAGACCACAATGATCACAAGGCTGTCTAAATCACCTCAAAAAATGCAATGAGATGGTGAGCTCAGCAACTAGTAGATTATATAATTTCAGCCACATGATGAGCAAGACTATTATAATGAGAAACAAGAAAAACTAAATGGTAGATCTCCCATCCAACAAACATAAGTCAGGGTCCGAATCTCATCTCCTCCAACCTTATGATTGAAGTAATGCTTATAAGGATGGGACTACAGGCCCTTTCCTTGAGACCAGTTTTAAACACTGCTAGATGATTAGTGTGATGGGCCTTTGGCATGTAAAAATGCAGTGGACCTTACTAGTGAGTAGAGACTACTTGCAGATGTGTGTAGTTTTTTGTAAAAAAAAAATAATTATAATAAAATGAGATACTTTTACTCTTATCATTAATCCCACCTCATACAATAATCCCAAACTCTTCTACACCATGAAAGCTTCGACCATCCTTTACCACCACCCTAAAGACCATCCTAACCCCAAGTCCAACACAAACATCACCAACCGCCCAAACCAAAAAAAAAAATAAAAAAAAAAATAAAAAAACCACAACCTAACCTCACCTGCCCAACTACAACACCAAAAATACCAAATTTGGGAAGTTAGAGTTTCTATGTAATCCATTATTATAGGTCATGATCCAGAATCAAGTGGCTTTCATAATGTCCATAAGGAGCCTGAACTACAGCAGATAGCCTGAAGATAAATTTTGCAAAAATATTGTCATAGAATTCTACCTATAATTCCTATTAGTATTAGTAGTAGTAGTAGTAGTAGTAGTAGTAGTAGACTAATAGTCCATTTCAAAAAAAAGAATTCCCCTTATATTAAGAAGTTGAGCTTTACAAAAAGATTTTTTTTTTTTTTTTTTTTTTTTTTGTAAAACTAAGAAATCTGGAAGTATATACCCTTCAATTAATTCCTCAAGTTGTGGCTGCAACTCTTTGTCCCGCAATTCTTCGATTCTTCTTGATATTGAATCGATTCTGTGGATTGCAACTCGAATCCTAGAATGCAAATCCTTGACAACAGCACGAGTCTTATCAATCTTCTGATGACTTTCACTCGTAGATTCTTGTTCTCTCAAAATCTTACATTTCATGTCATACTCCCTTCTGACAAGCTGACTAGCCTGTAATCAAAGCAAGTTTTTACAAATTAAACAATACAAATATGAGGACGGTACATAAACTATCGTCAAGGTCATGTAAATATCACAAGCATTAGTAGATTGCCTTCAAAATAAAATCATTTTTGCCACACGTTATATGTAAAGTAGCATTCAAACAGTAACTTTCTGGATGAAATATTTTTCCTGCTCCAATAGCGGAAAAGGTACCTTCTACCCGTTTTTGCCAATTTAATAACTTATACATGCCCATTGTAAGAAAACCGTGGCAACAGAACCACATCTAATTACAGAAACTATTTCTATTGAACAACCCAACAATTAGTCAGCTATGTAGCAAGGAGTATCTGCACATAAAACATGATAGAACCTATCTAGTAACTACCATGCCAAGACCATGTCTCCCAGATTCTCAAATATCATGAAAGACATGCTATGAGTTCATGTTCAAGCATTCGACCTTTATGACATGAAATTAGAAATGGAAAAGTTGCCATATCCAGAAAATTTGTCGCATTAAAAAATAACCTAGTGATTTGCACAATAGTGACAAACCTAAAGCCCAGTACTATACTACTATTGACCCAAAAGAAAGGTAAATTTTGGAGTTAGGATGAGCGGAAAAAACACACCAAAGTTAAGACTATATAATTTCTAGAAATAACCATTAATAATCAGAAATATGATAACAAAGCACAAACATTACAACTTTTATCCGTCTGAATGAAACCAGGGAAACTTGCCTTCAAAATATTCTGACTCAACATCCTAAAAGGTCTGTTTCATCTTTTATATGTCTCAATATGATTGTGACTTGATTGACAGATAATTGAAGAACATTGTTAGTTTGTTATATTAAATATCACCTATTGCTAAAAAGATGGGAAAACAGCAAGGATTGGCCCATTGATTAACCAAATACCAAAAGTTACAAGGAAGGATCTAGCATTTTACTCTAGCAGCAACAGTCTACCCAAGTTTTTTCCCAGATCCAGGCTGGTTTAATATGCTTACTCAAAACTGCTGCGTGCGTAATTCCAAGCCACAAAATAATTTGGATCCAAATTTAAGCAATCGTGCAAACCACGTCTTTTATATAATTGCAGAGTCATTTAACCACAGCCCTCCAAAAGTCCAATTCTCCAATCTCATGCGTTTTGATTTTTTTTTTATTTCCTATAACCTCCAATTAAATAATTTCCACTTCTCCATTTTTTGTACAACTTCCACATCTCCTATTGTTTTTCTTTCTAATTATACATGCTACGTATATACCCTGCGTTAGCACATATACACTCTAGCAACAACTAAAAGAACAGTATGCAGTGATTTTGATAACTGCAACAAATCTTTAACTAATGGCATACCAGTACATGGATAGCTGAATCGATCCCAAACTATAAGGACGTCAGTGTATATGAAAGTAAAGTTGAGAAAGGTCCAGAAAAAACAATTAAGGGAAGATTAAGTACCTTAACTTCATCGTATAGCTTTCTCTCCCAGGCAAAAAGTCTATCTAAAGTAGAAGCATGACTACCAGAATTCATGTAGATATTATCAAATAGATCACTTGTAAAGTCCCCAACATCTTCTCTTGCATGTGAATCAAGAAAGTTCCTGGATGATGATGAGTGGAACGATGTAGTTCGATGCCACATCAAGTATTTCATTGCGGACTGAGTAGGCTCTGAAGAAGGACAAAAAAAATTATATCAATAGCTAATAACTCTTAAAATTCATCATACAAAATGAAATCCATTTAGGTCAGAGACAAAGAACAAATGTTGCAAGCTCTTCCAACTATGAATAAGCAAGCTTTGGCAACTGACATCAGCATTAGACTAGCAAAACACAAATCTATAAACATTTAAGTTCGTGATATCCCAAAATCAAAATACCAAAGTTGTGGTATACAGTCTATGCACTTACTTCTCTAATTGTTCCGATCATTATGCATTGTCAAAAACATGCTATTCAAATTAATAGATGGGAGATTGGGAGTACATAAATTGTCAGGAAAAAGTAACTACTGACGTTTTTGATACATGCAACATATTTCCTTTAGGGATGTTTTACTAAACTTGCATCATTTCCGTTCAATGTAATTTTATTTTTTTTTTTTTTTTTTTGGGGGGGGGGGGGGGGGTGGGGGGGTGAATTGACTTCACTGCACATTATATAAGCTGTGCACAATTGCTTCTACAAATTGACAAATCAGTAATGGGTACTTAGCAGGTACCTGGATGATATGGGTACTCCATGAATATGTCCCCAATATGTTTCCAAATAATGGATATGGTCAATGATTTTGGGTACAGTCCATACTTGATTGGGGCAACTCAAGGATGTTTTTGGCAAAATTCATCGGTACCCATTCTATTTCAACTAAAAAGGGAGATTCATTTTTCTTTTTCTTTTACAGTTTTACCTTAATTCTTTCCATAATTTTCTTGAATTGGGGTCATATGGATGTTATGTTTTCTTCAATCATTTATATGATGCCTTTTGTAAATTCTATTTTCTTAATTATTTGTTAATTAATTTGTGTGGTTACGTCATTGTAAGTTGCGAGTCTTGTGACTGACCTAACTATTAATTATTTAATCTTTGAATTCCTTCTTTGTTATTTTTTTAAATATGCAATTAATTTTTTTCTTATTTTTTTTGGTTGTATTCTTGCCATACTCATTTCTTAAAAATATGATTTTACTGTTTTTCAGTCCCCATACTCTTCCAGTTTTTATCCTATAACAGTTTTCGTGCTACCTAGTATATAAGTAGGGAATAATCCACTCCTAAAACTTTGTAGTACAACTCTCTCTTCTAATCACATGAGAAACAAAATGTTGTCAAAGTTCATCCCTTTCTTCACACAACAGATTTGCATGCAAAGAGAAATTATGTATGTATTGAGAAACAGAAGTAGTAAAAACTCTAAAAAGGTTTCAACAACAAAACAAGGGCTATTTTTACTGATAATCTAGTATATTTCTAGTTTAAACTAATTGAACTGATTTTTTTTTTTTTACTCAACTTAAATTATTTTTACTAAACTGTGAATTGGAATCATCTTTACTCCCTCCGTTTTTAAATACTTGCTCCATTTCTCCATGCACGGAGTTTTAGGAGAAATTGGAGAAAGTAATAAAATATGGAGGTAGTGGGGTAGTTGAGAGAATAAAAAATTGTAAAAAGTAAAAGTAGTGGAAGAATAGGAGGAGAGAGAGTATTATGTTGGGTCCATTAAGTGTGAGAAATGAATTAAATATTGTAAAAGCTTTCCAAAAAATGAAATGGAGCAAGTATTTAAAAACGGCCGAAAAAGGAAAGTGAAGCAAGTATTTAAAAAAGGAGGGAGTATTATTTTTACTGAATATTATTTTTTTTAAAGTGAAGAGAACAAGGTCTTACTTTTTAATACTTATTGTCATATCTTAAAATATTGTATTAGTAAACATTGTAGAAATTATAAATTTGGAAATATAAATAAAGACAAATTAAACAAGACCCACTTGGCCACTTGATATTGATTTTTCTTTTGTATTAGTGAACAAATATAATTAAAGCTTGATTACACCAGCACAAACTAAAAATATTCAGAGCAAACCAGACTACATAAATTCAGACCACACCAAACCACCTTATTTCAATTAACGAGATCATATCCTAAAAGTCCTTCAGAAACACTAACAACAAACATTACGTATCAGTCACATGATACATGCTTATTATGCCCTTTTTCCTAGCCTTTTGCAAGGCATCCCTTTGAATGGCAATGAAGTTCCTTCACATATACAATCAACCAAATGTTTGAATAATTTCTTTACTCATGCGATTAATTATTTTTACTCTATATCAGCCCTTTTTCATTGTGAGTACTCCCTCCATCACAAATTAGTCACTCCTATTCACCACAATAGTTATTTTATGCAAAATAATTGACTTTATAACTTTATTGTGTTTAGTTGATAAAAGATCCCCCCCGGGAATGAGTAGTTGTTTTAGGCTCTATTTGGTGGTAGCGTTTGAGGTAGCGGTTGGCGTTTTGACTACCAGGAAAAATTTGATAGTGTTTGGCAAGGTAACAGTTCTAGTAGCGGTTAGCGGTAGAGGTAGAGATAGCCTTTAGGTAGCTTTTCTCAAACGTTAAAAATAGTAGCGTTTGAAAGTAGCGGGTAGCGTTTGACAGCTTTTATTACTTTTTAAACAATATTTATATGAATTTTGATATATTTTAGTATTGCAACCGCTAATTTTTCCAAACACTCATACTATCAACCGTTACATTGACAGCTAACCTCTACCCACTACTAATTGACCGCTGCTCGCTACCTTAACAGCTACCCAGTACTCAACCGCTAAAAGCTACCCGCTACCGCTACTTTTGCCAAACACGACCTTAATGATCTTACTTAATACTCCCTCCGTTTGTTTTTATTTGCATCACTCCTTGGCACTACTTGTATATTAGTTCTTCGAAATTCTTAATTGAATAACTCTCTCTGTGTGGGCACTATGAGTTTTAGCTTTCTTTCACACCAGACTCTTCAATAGGGAAGTCATTCACTCACCGAAAAGGCTAAGAGTATTTATCTACTCAAGACAATAACAATTCGATTTCTTGAATCCAACCCAAACGACCATCCCAATCATTATAACCACAAAGGTGTCCCTATAGCATAACTGGGGAAGAATATAAATCACATAGTGATGGATTTTGGCACTACTTGTATATTAGTTCAACATGATTTGAAACAAAATGACTACAACATTTCCCTACATATCTACCTAAGAATTCATTCCTTCTTGTTTACCATTCAATTATGTTACTCAAGCAACAATGTCGATACAAACCAACACTAATTTGAGAATGAATATGGGTCATATATGACAATTTGCACACAAACACAGATGCAGTGCAAACTAGAAATCAGAGATAAGAAGGTCTAGTTAATAATTTGTAATTTTGTTTTATTAGTTTTCTAGACTTCAATCAATACATAGAAGCTTAAGGTTGTTAGGGTTTGAGGAAAAATCCATCAATTTTTCAACACATGATGAAATTCACTATAAAAAGCAAGTAAAACACCAGGCCTTTGTAAAATGAGGAGAGGCAAGTAAATTGTGATGACCAGCACTCCGGTCGTCTTGTCTGAAGTTTTCTTTCATTACCTTTGTGACAGTGGCTCAAAACCTCAAATGCTTGTCTCTCTCCTCTTCTTGGCCTGGTAACTAAATTTCTATTCTCTTTTTTTCACTGTAAACACTTGCTAAGGCTTGAATTTTTCGTTTTCTTTTCTTTTTGGTTCCAGATTAGTCAAATTAGAGTATGAGCAATGGTCACAACAGCTAGTAGCCTAGTACTCCATTAAGCCAATTCCGATTTTCCGCACAGCAGGTTTGTGCTAGAATGACACCTCCATTTCTCAACTGCAATGCGTTGAGAAGAAAAAAGATAGAAGGATACAGTAGCTAGCACTCCGTTAAGCCATTTCGGTTCAGCAGGTAGTGCAAGAATGACACTTCTATTTCACAATTGCTATGTATTGAGAAGAAAGATGATAGATGTATACAGAGACATAGTAAGGGCAAACACAAGGCAAGTCCAATAATACGAACATAAAGACATCAGAGTCAAGGCATACACAACTGTAGGTTTAAAATAATGAAAGTCACCTTCTTGAACGTGGCTTGGATCTTCTCCACAGGAAAAACAAGCCTTGAGTAAAGTAGCTGTTGTTGACGCACCAGCTGCAAAAGAGAAGTTGCATGTTTTAGAGAAAATTTAACAAAAGTTGCCTTACAGAAGAATAGCATAGAAATATTACACCCTTATCCTTTCACAAAGTACTGCAACTAGTAAATCACTTTAAATAGGACCCCTTCCCAGCACAGAAGTAAAAATCCACCTCATATAATCCCAAAATTATTCCCAACCAGCAAGTCACAGGAATGTTGAATATAGATGCACTTTAAAAAATTTACCACATAAAGCTACTTTGGGATCTAATAGCAGCATTAAATATATGGGACGCGGCCAGGCAGTCTCCTGAATCGAGAAAATGTAAGTATGCATAGCCGCTATGGAATGTCATAAATGTATGTGCTTCGAAAATTTGGTCTATGCAGCTACTTATGACCAAGTAACAGCATATAATACAAATTGTAAAGGAAATTTGCCAGGCTCTGGACAAGGTAAGCATGCATGGACCAGTGACTTTAGACAATGAGAACACTATGTAGGATTAAAAGACTCTTACTTCCCTGATGAAAAGAGAAGGGTGAGAGAAAATATATGTCCAAATGGGTTTTACACTTAAACTACAGTAAAGATGAGATAAGTTCCATCATTCGTTCCATCTCAAATTCTCAACTGCGATTTTGTATGGACCCATGAATGGTAATGTGTCTAAGCAATATTTATGAAGCGGCATCTATACAATATCAATGGAACATTTCTAACACTTTACTTCCCAATAAGAATTACATGCTAAAATCACATCCCACATTTTAGAATGAGCCTCATAATCTACGCAAAGCACTTTATGTTAACCCCACAGACCATATGGGCATATGAAGATGCATACCAAACAGTAATCTATAATTAAACAAGTCTTAAGATTGAAGAACAAAAAAAATATAGATGCATGCCAATTTGATATAAAGACTACCAGTGAGCCATTATCATAAAAGCCTCAAAATGAGATAAAAATCCAAAATACTTGAACTGAAGCTCAGGTCTTTACAGAAACTTAACATTTTTAATGACACATGAAAAGAAATATCAAGTAATAAAGATGAAGGAAGAATTGGATTCTTCTTTCTCTCCAGATAATATGAAAAGAAGAAATGAGAAAGGTTCTTACACTCTTTCCCAGGCAACAAGGGACGAAAATGTATTCTGGTTGCTTCTAACATTCTCGGCACTTCTTTCCCAGATTCAGAAGCTCTAGCAAAAAGACTTTCAACTTCTCTCATACTAGAGAGAAAGTCTTTAGGGGCAATCTTATGCTCAATATCATCATCTTTCTCTGATGTTACCTTAGTTGCAGGAGTAATTGTAGCTTCTGAAGCTTTTGTTTTCAAGGGTGACAACTTAGGAGAGCTGACTTTCTCTTCATCAAACATTTCATTCTCTGATTCAGCACTATGCGCTGTAGGAGAGGTACTTGTTCCACCATTACTTTCTTCCCGGTTTAGATTTTTAAACCTTCGTACTAGTGTATCAGAAGAGGGATCATCAAATTCATCGGAATCAGATTCTTCGCTTCCACTAGAAAAGATTTTCTCCTCACCATCTTCTAGTTCAGGAACTTCCTCATCATGTTTAATGTGTTTAAGCTTATCATTGTTTCCAAAATCATGGTCTAGATCTCTTTGCTCACCGGGTGACAAGTGATTGTCAATTGGATGGTAAAGCCCAAAATAATCCCAAGGTGAATTTTCAGGTAGATGGGATGGAGTTCCAGGCTGGTGAGTTGGAGTTTCTGATGGAGAGTGTTCTGTTCTATCAATGGACCGAGGAGTGGAATTTTGTGGTGTGCTCAATGAAGTAACAGTCCCAGTGACAACTACTGGAGGCTTTTCTTCAACTTTTCTAATGAAGCTTCCCCTGAAATTCATACGGTGCGCCTGATACCGGCCCGCAGTAGGAGGTGAAGGAGACGGACCCAGACGTTCATTAGTCTCCACACGTTGTGAAACTGATGGTGAAGGATATGAAAAACGAGAATATGACCTCTCTGTCAAAGCAAGTGGTTCTGGAGTGGCACTGATGGAAGTATACAGGGAAGACTCTACTGGACCATCTGGTTGCACAAATTTTCTTACTGCCGTTCCAGTAGCCTTCAAAGAATGGATGTAAGCATAATGAGCAGCAGCTAGGGCACACCTCCCATCAAGAGCTAGTCGAATTAATTTCTTCCTTTCACGGCATAATTTCAAGGATTTATCATCTTCTATTTTAGAGCTCGCTGCCCCCATATCCCCAGACCTCTACTTTAGACAATCCACTCATAAAAAGAAACCAAGATAGAGACTTCTCCCAATAAGTTCAGCAATCCACAAAAACCAGGAAATCAGTTATCCCTATCAATCACAAGAAACCAACAAATCATTCAATGTGACATACAATGGGGAAAGAAATACTCGAATAGTAAACTATTGAATCATCTTCGTGTCAAGATTAGGTTATAAGCTAAGCAAACTCATCAAAGAACAACACAAAACTACACTGCTGCCAAAATGCAAAATTGAAGGATAAAAGCAAGCACAAGCCCAGTAATCAATACAATTACATTGAGTTTATTATACAATCACAAAACTATTGCAGTTACATCATCAACAACCAAAATTCGAACACTTGAAAGTTGAAAGCTTTCTAAATTTAAACCATCAGACAGATTTGAAATTATGATGACACACATTCACAACTTTCAAATACACAAACTTATCACAAATTTTAAACACAATACAAAAAGGCAACTTATTCAAAAACATAGCCAAGAACATTGAGATCCCAAAAAAGCTGCAAAATTTAAATTTAACCCTTAAAAGAGGGAAACCCCCTTAGAAAAATGCATATATCTTGTTGAATATTCATTTATACACATATCGAGGCCATAATAATAAATTAAGCTCACATCCAATTTAATACAAACCATAACAACCGACACAAAACAAATCTCTAAATAACCTTCAATTTCCTATTATGATGATTATGGTTATATTTAACCCTTTGTTAGTAGAAATGTATTTCTATATGAATCCCCACATCAAATTCTATCCAAATAACATCATTTTTTTTACCATATAACAAAACCAGAGCAAATAACAATATTCAATTTACATTGTTTCAAAAAAATATATATATTCAATTTACATAATCCCAAAATTGGGGATAACCCCACAAAAAATAATTAAAATTTACCTCAAAGGACCAAAATTGAGATACCCAAATCAAAATTCAGTTGAATTCCAATAAACCAAGAACAAAATCTAATTGGGTAATTGAAAAGAAAAATCAGATTTTCTGAAACAGTAGTAAATCTCAGAATCTGAGTGATGTGAAGCAATGAAGTATACTGTACAAATAGTTGAAAATGAAGAGATTAGATTAAAGAAGTAGTAGCATCAACATGGAAATCAGAGAAGAAGAATCTTAGAAAGTGAAGGGGATTAAATTAGTGTTACTAATCCTAGAAAGTGCGAGGGTAAGAAGGAATCTGGACAGAGAAGTAAGCATGCAAAAAGAAGTAAGCACATTTGGAAAGGTGTATGAGCTTGTGGGGCTCTGACGCCTTCTAGCAAAACTTGCTTAGTCACGCCGCACTTTGGCTTGAAAAAAGGTGTATAATTCTAAAGGGTAATTGTACTCTTGTTGATCATAGATCTAGTAATGTAATTGGCCTTTATTAGGTGTACTAATAATGGATTTTTTTGGATTTTTTTCAAATTTTTTCAATCACTTAATTTTTCATAATTGGGTCTTTTTAAGGGCAACTCGATTTATGGGGTGCTTATTTAATGACAAAAGTGTAAATAAAAGTGTATAGATCGGTGGGAATAACATTATTCTTTTTCGTTTCATAATATCGCCTTTATTTTAAAGTAATTGCCTAGTTTAACATTATATATGTCAATGAGGAAACTTGACCAAAAGTATCTTAATTATCAATCAATCATTAATAACTTAATACTTCCTCCGTCCCCGATTGATAGTCACTTTTGCTATTTTTGGGCACCCAAAATGTTAGTCACATTTTCTTTTTTCAAGTACCACTAATATTATTTTTTTTACCAAAATTCTCTAACATTTGCAAAAATATTTGTGCAAATTTAACTTTCCAATGTAAATTTTACTTTCCCATGTACTTTAATTACTTTATCTCTCTACTTTTTTGCATACCCAATGTAAATTTACATTTTCAATGTACTTTCCTTAATTCTCCTTAATTCCCGTGATTTTTCTTCAAAAGTGACTATCAATCGGGGACGGAGGGAGTATCAATCAATTAATAATCAATTTATAACTTAATACCAAAACAAACACCGCGAATGACACATGTCATTTCCTAATGTTTTTTCTCTTCGAATTTTTCTATTGTAATTTTTTTTTAAATGTCCATTAATATACTACCTCCGTTAACAATTATTTGCAACAAAGGGGTAACACAGACTCCTAGGCAAAACTTTTAATGATTATTTAAGTGAGAATAATTGGGTGGAAGGGCATGTGATTAAGTCATAAAAATGGAGGGAATGAGGGGACACTTTTTTTACAAAAAATAAATAATTAAAAAAAATAGAAAATCTGAACTTTTGTGGGGTTTTGATTTCCCTCCTTAAATTTCAACCACTTAAAATTTTTTACACTTTTTGCATCTAAATTTTTTCCCTCCAATTGAATTTTTCATTCAAAGTAGGGTATTTAAACCTGCCAAATAGAATTCATTGTCCATAATATTTATACAAACCAAAAGTTCTACCCTAACCAAATTACAGAATGTTTTCCTCACAAAAGTCAGCACTAATTTTCTTCCTAAACTTCATTACAAACTGAATTAATTACCCTCCTATTAATTAGTGCAAGGTTAGAAGCAGCAACAATATTCTTCAACTCTAACTCTAGTTCAGCCTGAGTACTTCAAACAAAAAAAAATAAAAAAATAAAAAAAATAACAGTCTTAACTTCATCACCATTTCTGAAATCTACAAGCAAGAAAAGTTGACACATTAAAATGTCATATTATGCCAATGATGAATTTTTCAACATAGATCAGTTGCTAAATGAAGAAGCAACAATGGAGGAAAGTGATTCAAGCTCCATGGGAGAAATTGACAACCAAAGTCAGACTTGAAGGAGTTGTGTCTTCGATAAGTGCAATTACTAGATATATCAAGGATCACTATTATGGAGATAATAAGTTCATTCTCTTAGGGCATCATCATCTGTTGCTAGACTATGAGAGATGATCTTTGGGCTAGTAAAATAGTCCAAAGCCCGCTAGAATGGATCATATGAGGTCACACACAAAGGTATTGGGTTAAGCAAGTAAGAGGCTCATTAATGGGCCTTATGAGCATTTAACTAATCATGAATAGGATTGGGCTAGTGTAGTTTTATTGGGATTAGGAATTGGGCTTGGTCATGGACTCTTATTTATGGATGTGATCTATACATAAGATCCATGCCTAGGGTTGCAAATAGAGAAGTCACAATTAACTTACAGTGAATTGTGAATCAAGGCAACCAAAATCCCAAAACCCTCATCTCCCTCTCTCTCTCTCTCTCTCACGGCACCCCTCTCCTTCCCCCTTGGACTTGCGGCCGGCCACCCCTGGTGGTGCTCGCGGTAGTTCGTGGTGGTTCGTGACTAGTTCGTTGTTCATACTTCTCCGTAGAAAGTCGATTGAAGAGTTCGATCGCGTCTAACTAGCATTAGTGGAGGTCTTAATCCGTGCCTGTGGACCAAGTAGAGGAATCACGTTTGAGGTTCTTTGTCTCCCTTGTACTTGCTCGATTACTAGTGGAATCACGCTTCAAAGGTATAATTCTTACTCTTTATGTGTTATGCATGAGATCCTTGGTTAGGTGCTATATGAATATGATTCATGATTATTTCCGCTGCGTAGTACCTATAATTCCCTACAGTGGTATCAGTTAGCCTCTTGCAATTACATATATTGAGTATCAATCCTTTGATAATCCACAATTTTAATTCAATTACGAGGGAGAATAATTTAATTATGGGTCAATTATTATATTAAATGTGATTTAACAATATAGAATCATTAAAAGTTGTTAAATTTGCTCCATATTAGCCCTAATTTGATCCGAAAATTGCCCTATATTATTTGAAAAATTCGACCCCCCCCCCCCTTAATATTTCGAAAAATTCGAAATCATAAACCCCAATTTATGAAATTTGTGTTTTTGATTTTGATTTAATTCGAAAGTTTTATGTTTAGAGAATTTAATCCTTTTGATTTCATGTTAAATTTTGATTTTTTCATGATCAAATTATTTAATTTAAAAGTCAAACTGAATTGGGATTAAATTCATGAAGAACCCTAATTTTAAAATTGAATATGATTTAATTTTAAAATTAGATGGACCACATTAATTTAATTTTAATAAAAATGTTTTGTTTTAAATTAAAAAAAAGGGGGGGGATTAAGGTGTGGCAGCTGCGGCTGGGTGGCGCAGCCACGGCGACTGCCGCACCGGTGGTGGTCCAGGAGGGAGGGTGGGCTGGGCACGGGTCGGTCAAGGGGCAGCGCAGCAGTGCACCACCCCGTTGTGTGTGTTGTTGCTGCTGTCCTTGCGTCGCTGCAGGGGTAGCGTACACCACAAGGTGTACGACCACCGTGGCTGGTTTCGGCTAGCCACACCACGGTGGCTGACGCTATTTTTTTAAAAAAAAAATTATTTTATTTTGGATAAAATCAGTTTTCAAAATTAAAAATTGAAAGATAAGTTTTGATTTTGAAAAGATAATTAACAAAGTTAAAGTTGTTAATTTTGTTAAGATAGGATAAATATGGAGCAAAAGATTCTATTTGGATAATAATTGATTAAATAATATGATTATCCCATAATTATTTTAGGATATTAATTGATTTAAAATATGTGATCGACAAGTAATTAGGATAAAATTTCCTAAAAGTTAGGATAATCATGGAAAATAAATATGATTTATCTTCCATAATTAAAATAAGATTTGATTCTATCTCATAGCTAAATTAAAATATATGATATTTTATAATTGGTTATGAATAATATATGATATTATCTAATTACAGTAATTAATTAAAATATGAGATATTTAGGAGCCATGTTTCCTTTACTGTGAACATTCGATGTTGTAGTTTAGGAAAGCATGATGAGTGATTTATTATATGGCATTTCATAATATATGATGTTATTTATTGCTATATAGACTAGTATGACCCATAGATTCTAAATACGATCTGCGCATCGTTTCGTATTTTTGTAATCTAAATACGGTCTGCGCACCGTTAAGTATTTTTGTAATTTATTTTATTTTATTTAAGTAGTAGATAGAATAGAATATTATTACATGTTGCAGTTAATCCAAGAATCCATGGAGTGGAGGCCCAAAGGAGCAAGATGGATGAAATCCATGAAGGTTCAAGTGGGAGCTTTTGCTTTATTAGTTTTCTTAGGATTAAGGGGTCATACTATGTCATGTTTTATTTATGCATTAGTAGATTATGCATGTTAGATTTTATTTTTGTTGTTTGATGATGCGCTAGAGTTCACTAAATAATCACAACATAATAAATCTAGGTCCCAGTAATATTGAGGTTGTTTTTCCAATTAAAAACCCGATGAAACCTTCGATATTTATGGCAGGTCATGCCTCAGCTGGGTGTCATACTATATCTTAGGGGAGTGGGGGTAAATCACGTTTTACACTTTTAGTTGGTTATACTCAACAAGGTTACCTAAAGAGTTTAGAACCTTGAAGCTAAGGGTAATAAATAAACATGTGATGGGTAATTATTCAACCAAGAATTACAAAGAGTTGTAATCAGTAAAGAGTTTACTCACCTTGAAAATGCAATACTTGATGGTAGGGCCTCAGTCCGGTCAATTATTGCACAAATAAAGGATCTTGGAATCATTCTATTCAATAGGGATCAATTAAATTGAATGAATGTTTTAAAGTTACCAGTTTTATAATCACCTATGGTACTTTAAAAATTTATTAAACATAATTATTGAACTTTGCCTCGTTTGTTTTTGTTTGTAGATGAATAACTTATACGACAACACAGTTTTATCAATGAAACTTAACTTAAGGCTGAATCTCAGAAACTTAAGGGAATGGGAAAATGAGTTGAGAAAAGTTCTCACAAGCCATGGGCTTGAATCTCGTTTATATATTCCTGTTGAGAGCAAGTATACCAAAAAATATGAAGCTGAAAGGCATGCTGAAATTGTTTCAGATGCAGAGAAAATCAGAACGCTCTATTTTAGAATCCATTCCAATTTGTTGGAAAAGAAGATTCAGGCACTATGAGCTAGCCAACTTGTCACTACAAAAAAATGAGAATAGGCAACGGACAAAATTGCAACAAAATGACAAACGTTGCCTTTTGTAGTAAAAGGCAACAATACTTGTTTGTTACCTTGATCTTGAACAATTTTTACTATATGACAATGCAACGGTTTGAAAAGTGTTGCTTTAGATTATGTAAGACAACAATATGTAAAATGTAGTTATTTATTTTACAAAAGACAACAATTATTTAAAATGTTGCCAAGAAAGATAACAACAATAAAATTGTTGCTTATGTAATAATTTTAAAAACGCTTTTTCAAGGTATCTAAGACAAGATTGTTTCATGAGTTTTCATTGTCTTACATAAGATAGGTTATTATTTAGAACATTCGTTTAAAAATAATAATAAATAGATTATTGCCAATAAGAACAAATTATTATCTATTCATAAAGGTGTGTATGACAACAATAGTTGATGATTAGAAAAAAAAATTTAGCACCGGTAATTGTGGTTGGTGGATTTCACATTTCACAACAGCATTTTTTAAGCTAAATCAATGTAGAAAATACAACACATATGTAAAAGTTACTATTTTCATACGAGTAGAATTGATGGTAATTATACAGTACAAATAAATTTCAAAAGGCTAGCAGTCTTTGTATAAAAAAATTTTAAAAATTAAATCTTTATATGCAAATTTTGGCACTGAACTTTGTTTGTTTTTTAAGCTATTTATAACATTTACTTGCAGTTTTTGTCCATCATCTCAGATTCTGGAATTCCTTTAGTAAATGTATTTCACAAAATTTAGTAAATATATTTCACAAAATTTATGTCTCACCTGTATTTAAAAGTTGCTTCATCCTTTTCTCGCACCAATTTGGCAGAAAAAAGTGCTTAATGAATGGGATCATGCTATCCATTTTGCATTATCTTCACAGTACACATTGATATCGACAAAATTTTGGTTTGAACTCACATTGGATTTTTTAGGTCATCACTCGTGATTTCGGAGGTGGAAAATCAATAAGCCTTTTCTTAATGTTCCATTACCCAAAATATTTTTTGCAGAGTCGGATCTTATGTGTGTTTGTTAATATGCTGATTTTGTTATTATAACAAAAGTCTTCATACGTGCCTTTCTTTGGCTTATCGGCAAGATTGAGTCCTTTGTTTATATTCCTTCCTTCCTTGTGCAGGCAATGGAGTTTGGTCTTATATATGGCATTTTGGAAACAAAGTATTGAGGATGTTGCGTATGACATGTTGCAACCATTTCATGGATGCACCTTTCTTATAGCTGTTGTACGAAGTATATTTCACTAGTAGTCCAATACTAATTTTGTTGCGTTGCAATCTCAGCTTAACTAACTAAGTTGCAACATTGTAATTGGAAGGGACATGGTTGTTGTCCTTGTATATCTTCAAATAATTCAATTTTTTTGAAAATCAAATTGTAATTATGGGCAAGTAATGTTCCAATTGAATTTGTTTTGTTAAACAAGAATCAAATTCTGATTCTAGCAGGAATGGTTTGCAATTAAAGAGTGAGAGGTGCAGATAATTTGTTGCTTGAACAAGATTTGGACTGGTATGACTGATAAAAAGTTTCTATAACAAGAAATTATTGCAATGATTTCCATCATGATAAACTATTGCAATAACAAGTCTATGTTCATAAATTATAGTTCAAGATGAGCCTTCTCATGGACGTCCACGTTCATAAACAAATCAATTTCAATCAATTTACAACCTTGTGCCAAACTAACAAGAACTTTAAGAAGTACAAAATGATCGCCTCCCTACAAACGGGAACCGACTTTCTTATTTTGGGGGTTGTGGGAGGAGATAACAATTCATGTATTTAAGGTTCTCCCTCCCCATAAGAATGTTGTGGTATAGTGTTAAGCCTACTCATACATCCATATAGTGTTCTGGCATGTTTGAAATGCTTCGCCTTTTATCTGACTTAGTAGCACTTTTGGTGTATATCATTATATGCTATGTACCTGAGAAAAGAGTAAAAGACAAATGCCAAGAAAATCAGAAACAATGCCTTATAGCATGTGAAGTAAAGCACAACTAGTCCATTCTCAAAATCTGAACATTCAATCAGCCAAATGGTTGAATATTGAAAGTCTTGCTGATAGAGAAAATGTTTAATCTCAAGCCTTCACACATTATAACAACCATCAATAATTTTTCAAGTTATGAATAGCAGAACGCTTTGACGGGATAGAAAAAATTATTTTTGCTTATCTACTTATCATTACACAGAACAGGGTAGCCCTTTTCAGTTTCAGAATGTTTTAACAACAGGGCATAAGTAGGCACTTCTTACCTTCAGCTAGTCATGAGTTTCTTGAGAATCCTCCTAAGCATAAGTTTAGATGATACAAGTTCTATGACGAGTCATTATGAATACAATGAGATCGCAGAGAACCCGCCATAAAACTTTCAAGCGGTCTAGTAATTGAAGCTACTCAATCGTCTGGTCAGCATTGTGAGGATAGGAAAGCAAGATCAATTTCAGACCATAAGGTTTGAAAAATGTTGCTAGACCTTCAAAAAGTGCCTTGTGGAGCTTCTTTATAGCGTGTATCATCAAGCACATTGCAGCTCGGGGGTAGACAGGTTCAAGGTAGTTACTCAAGCAATATTTCCTACAGCATCAGACTGCCTTAGAACTGTAAATTGCAGAATTTTATGAGCCCATCAGGCAAGAATATAGCTCAGCTACTCAAAGTTTGCTAACTAAAATTTGCAGGATGCTCATAGCGGCTCTTATGCCTAAATTACATACAATGTTGAGCATGGAGAGATTAGATAAGAAATATGCATGTATTATCATAAGAACACAAATTTAACTCATATTACAATTCAATATGCTACAACAATGTATGAAATCTGCAAACCCAGTACAAGTTACTCTAGATAATCAAGTTAACGAAATACCAAATAACGAACAGAAATTAGCAAGTTTAGTCGAATTGCCGGACTTACTTGTCTTTGTTTCTTCCTCGATCTACCCGCTGCTATTTTCAGGTTGCACCAAGATATTATTAGAAGATGGCAACAAACTATCTATATTTGATTCTTTACTCTCTTCAATCTACACCAACAAATTAAAAGTTGATACGGAGTATTAATTTAATCGAAATCAAAATCAAATTTGATGCTATTTTGGGGTTAATCTATTAGGAATAGGTGAGCGAAATTATGAGAGTTGGAATAACATAGGGGCAATTTGGTTTTGTTTGTTCGATTTTGTGGGAAAAATTAGTTGGGGTTTTTTATTTTGTGGGAAGAATTAGTTGAATATGGTTCTGTTTGTTCTACTTTGAAGGAAGAACTAAGTCTCTAACGAATTAGTTGGGGGTTAGTTAACTTTGTGATTTTTTTCTTCAATGATTAGTGATGTAATAATAATAATAATAACAACAATATAATAATAATAATAATAATAATAATAATAATAATAATAATAATATGAATGAATCTATATCATTATCACATACTCATTTTTTAACAAAATTATTACATACTAACTCATAATAAACTTAGGACCTGTTCTCTTCAAATTATTTTTAGTTCAGTTCAGTTCTAATAAGTTCCATTCAATTCAGTTCTTAATTTCCTTCTCTCATAAAATATTCAGTTTGGTTTAGTTCAGTTCAGCTTCAATAAGTTTAGTTCAGTTCGGTTCAGCTCAGTTCAGCTTCAGCCAATCAAAACAAACCCTTAGATTTTAGACTTAATTATTATTATTATTAATTTTAAACAAGACTTAATTATTACTAATGAGTAACATATTTGATTGAATTTGATTGAATTTCACATTTGTATAAAACTTAATGGTAAAAACTCACTACGTAACTTTGTTTCTTTTTACTCTATATAGTAACTTGAATTTCACAATTGTATTAAAAAGATTGTCATAATGGTCAAGGTTACCCTTTTGAACCACCTCGGTTTGGATCTAATCAATTTTGAGTCGAGACAATAACTATCGGGTCCATGTCAAATTTGGAAAAAGCCATCAATTTTGTATTAGTTAATGGTCAAATTGGAGTATTAGCTTAGGTTTAAACGAGTTTGAGTGGGTCTATTTCGTATCAGTTGACTTTGGTCTCCTTGATTACATTTTTGCTGATTTCGATTCAATATTACATTTGTATAAAGTCAAATATTATTACAAACAAGACTCTATTATGTTCACCTTTATTCCATTTATTTTACAAAAAATAATCTCACATAAGCTTAGATAAAATTAATCATGATTTAGAACACGTAAAATAGTTTAGTAGGGTAACTTTTTGCCAATTTTTAATGTAAATAGCCAATGAAATAAGTTATATAAGTTTATTATAGTTGCTTTTACTTACAAACCTTTTCTTTATTGGGTTACTTTTATACATATTGTGGTAACTTTTATTCATTATAGGGGTAACTTCTGATCACTTTAGGCTATCTTTATAATGGATGTACAATAATTATTGTACACCCGGTTTTTTAAAAAAAAAAACGTTTGTGTGTATATATTAGGAGTAATATTGTACACCCATTTTTTTTATTTTTTTTAAAGTTAGGGTTTGTTCTCATGACTGAACTGAACTTATTAGAGCTGAACTGAACTAAATTGAAATGAATATTTTATAAGAGAATGAAATTAGGAGCTAAACTGAACTGATTAGAGCTGAACTGAACTGGAAATAATCGTATGAGAACAGACCCTAACTAGTAATCATTTAGGACAATATCAATACGGATATACAAAATTTATTGTACACCTTTTTTTTATTCGTTAAAATAAATATTTTTTTTGAAACAATTAAAATAAATAGTTTGATTTATTATTATTATTATTATTATTATTATTATTATTATTTTTAAAATAACAAAAACCTACAAAGTCAAAAGATTTACAAGAAATTAGTGGGGAGCCGAGATATAATCTGGGCCCCCACCCCTCTAGCTATAGCGAACCCAATCCTGTTAAAGATGTGAGCAGCCGCACGAGCTCCAATATTCTGAGTCCTAGCGAATGCCTGAACCCGCTTCAACAACGCAACGACATCCTTCTCTAATTCCCCCAATGAAGAAAAGGAGAAAGGAAGAAAACCATAGCCAATAGCCCTGCAACGCGCCGCATACTTGTCTCGCTTCCGCTGAGCCGCAGCCGACATAACACAACCAAGAACGAAGTCAGACAACCCAGATTGAGTCAATGGAGAAGACCCCGTCAAGTCAACACATACATCTAGGCCTCTATCCCAGGAGTAAAGCAACACATCTGCTGGCCGAAGAGCCCCGTCGTTCCCTCCAGTTAACCCAACGTTGACCTCCTTCCTTGCAGAAATCCCAGAGCGGAAACAAATATCAACAAGGGTATTGATTAGGGGATTTTTATCCACCAATCACCGTCTGACAAGTGGACCAACCAGGTTCCGCCACGTGTCTTTCACGTAGGCCAATAGGAGCCTGCCACGTGTCAATTACAGATTCGTCCTCTGCGGACCAATTGAGACACGCCACGTGTCCACCCATGCCAAATGGGAAAACCGGCCACCAAGGCCCAATCCTGTTTAGAGGCCCGGTCAGCCCTAGGTTTACCCTAAACCTAGAGAGTGGCACGCTTCTCAAGACTATAAATACTCCTCTTAATCCTCATTAAGAGAGGGAGAACTCTAATAACACACGGATTATACTTTAAACACTCTCACCTAGAGAGACTAAACCGCTTTAATTTCCGTATTAATTACTCCTTAATCAGGTACTAACTTGACCGTTGGAGGCGGAGCTCTCAGGAGTCTCCGTTATTTTGCAGGTACAGGCGGCCGGTTCCAGTCTCGGTGTTGTAACTCTCCCGCAGGACATCAGAAAACCCCGAAACAGGTATCACGAACAATGTTATGCCGATGTTTAATACCCACCATCCCAGCACAAGACACTGCATGATCCCCATAAATATCCCCATCAAAAACTCTTGAGCAAGCAGAACAAGGTGCCGATACGGAGAACAAGGGAACACCCAACCGGTAGCAAAGAACACAACGGTAAGTCTTACCATTCATAGTCTGACCCAGACCTGATATCGGGACCGCTCGCAACCAGGTAGAAGAGTAATCCCCCTGCTGGGACTTCCATAAGGCAACCTGACGCGGAGACAAGGAGAAAGTGGATTCTGCAGATGCAGTGACCTTCGTGAAATATATATCTGCCAATTTCTTCATGAGTTTGGGGGCAGCGATCTCACCAGGGTAACGCAAAAGGTCAGTCTCCACAGTCCTATTAAAAAGACTAAGAGCGTCGTCGAAGGCCGTACCTGGACCAACAATACCAGAATTGCGAAGAAGCGAAGCCTGTAGACCAGAAGACTGCAAACGCGACGCAAGGAAAGCATAGTGTCGAACATCACCCGCTGAATAGACACCCAGTCCTCCATAAGAAAAAGGTAAGGTGGAAAGTCGCCATTGCCAATCACCAAAACCTGGCCCCGAAGCAGTTACAATGCGCTCCACAGAACCTCGAAGGGCCACATCAAAAGAAATCGGGGCCGCTTCAAAAAGACGAGGAGGACAAGTGCACATAGAAAAGTAGAGTTTTGAAACTCCAGTACACGCACGAAGAAGTAATAACTCACATTGGGGATCCTCAAGCTTAGCAATAGCATCCATGAGCACAATGGTCTTCGACACCCTCTGCGAAACAAGCTCACCACAGAAAGAGGCATCCGCACTGACAGGACCCCCAAGCAACTTAACACCATGAGCAGGACGAGCAATATCTGGAGGAAAGACACCGGCCAGACGGCTACCAATACCCATTTTAATTAATTCATTTTTTTTTAATCCAATACCCATTATTATTATTATTATTATTAGATTACCATCCAGAAACTAGCAAGTTGCTACCAATACCCATTTTAATTAATTCATTTTTTTTAATCCAATAATTTCTTCGTCATAATCCAATAATAGATTACAACTTTGTTTCCTTAAGATATTTGTAATCCCACCCAAGTAAGATCCCCTAGTTTATTCCAAAAAGAAGAACCATTAGCTAGTAGTCCACATTTAGTTCTCAAAATAGAAAATAAGTTAAAAAATAAATAAATTTAAAAAAAAAAAACCAAACCCCATCATCCTCAACAGGTCACTCCACCCTCATTTCCTCAACGCCTCAACTCTTCCTCAACGCCTCAACTCCATATTCTTCTCCAAACCCGCGAAATTGTAAATTATTTTTGGCTCCAAATTTTTTTGATCATGAATAAGCAGTTACTCCACTTTTCAATGGTTGATCTTATTATACAACACAGTCATCATCTTAAAATCATCATATCCCCCAATCGGTTACTCTACTTACTCACCTTCTTTCTTTCTACTTAGGTGAGAGTTAATTAAGAGTATAGAGTATCTATTTCAATTCGTAATTAACTAGTTGCTTTTCTCTCTACTCACACTGCTTTCTTTGGATTTATGGTTGGCTAGTTGGGTTTGATGCCGGCGAAATCGTTGTTGTATTCTGAATTTCATGTAAGTCATCGTTACCCTTTTAATCTCTGAAGTGAATTTGGCATTTATAACTGGTTAATTTGATGTTGGATTTGATTTTTAGATGTAATATATTCTGGATTGTCTTATTTTTGTAATTTAATATGATTATGGGTTAAGATGATTTTAATGGTTATGATTTACAAATAGCTCTGTATTTCTGTTGCTGCTTAGTGATTGACATGGACATTTGCACTTGTTAATATGAGTTGATGCATGACATCAGATAACGGGTGTGAGTTTTAGAGCGTTTTTTAGGGTGTTTTGCTGACACCCTCGAAAGCTAACGAGGCCATTTTTTGGGTGTCTTAGGAGGTGTTCGTGTGATTAGGCTGTCATCCCCTTAGTTTATCATTGATCATCTCTCTTATTACTTTCCAATGGCCACATTCACTACACTAGCAGCTATGAAGGGCAATCCAAAAATTCAAGCCATTTATTTGAGTCCAATTTTGATCAATCTTTGTGAATTTTACTATCTAGAGACTTATAGTACCTGAACCTGCTCTCTGAACATTGCAAAACCTCACCTTTCTCAATTTGATGCACAGTCCAGGTTGTTTATTAGGCTGTCCAGAATGTTACAGTTGCCAATCTGACCAAGCTCCAATGTGATCTTAACTTCAATTCATTCATCAATAATTAGTACATATAAGGTCCTGGAGTCTTGGGTTCTGAGATATATTCTGATTTGTTCACTATAGAAATCAATTATATTTTGTTTGTTCTACTTTAGTCTAAAAAATGTACCGAACAGAATTTGCCACTAAAATTTAAGTTAATAGAGGTTAGTTGTTAAGCTTTCAATCATGCTAACCCTTTTGTGAAATCAGCTAGATTATTAAACAGATGGTTATCCTTACTTGTTTTGTAACTTGAGCAGAAGAGTTTTAATTAGAAAAGATTTAAAAATTAAAGCATATTGAGGACTGTCAATTTATTCCCTGATGTCTAGTTGTTACTGAACTGAGTAATTGCTGACAGATGCTAAGATATTTGTCCTAGGTCTAATTAACTTACAAACGAAATCACTAATGGTAGCTAGTGGGGTTGCTTACACTATGTGTGGGTTATATGCATCTGCACTAATTTTCCCGCCTCTCCTATGTTTCTGTCCAACATTTTTATTAGTAAACGATGTCGGCATGTCACATATGCTTAGTTTATGATAGAAAGGGATACCAGTATATCAAATTTGATATTAAAAAACCTAGATATATAATTGAATTTAGAATGAAAATTTAATGGAGAGTTTGCTTTATGAGTGCTTATATATAGCTATTGTTTGGTTGTATAATTCTTACTATTTATTTGTGCAAGCTTGCTTTATGAATGCGTGTATATATGTATATATAATTCTTTTTTTTCTTCTGTATAATTGGATTCATTTTCAAAATTAATTAGCTACAAGTATGACAAAGAAAAAATCCACTAAGCTTGGAGCTATAAGAGGTTCTGGTGATGAGCATCAAACTCATGAACCAAGAATGTCAGAATAGGCTGAGAATGGAAACAATTAGAAAAAATATGACAAGAATGGAAGAATTAGGTTTGAAGGAACAGGCTAAGTCACTGATGGCGCAAGTTCAAAATAATAGAGGCAATCAAAGTAAGAATAAAAAGAAAAATGTTTCGGGAGACGATGAGCTCTATAGGCCTAACCAAGATATGGAGCATGAGCTTGATTCGACCGATGAAGAGTTACCCATTCCACAGTCTAAAAGTAAAGACAAGTCCAATGCTATTCAATGGAAGGTAGTTTTTTCTAAGCTGTACATTTATAACTAAGCATGTCTCTATTCTTTACACATGTAATTCTATGCATCAAGATGATGTGTTGTGCTGCTATATATATGTCATATGTGGGTTTAAAATTTAAAATATAGGTTTTAAATTGAGAATGGAACTCTATTATCTCATGCAAGTATATATGCAACTAGGAATAGATGTTTGAATGTTCTGATTTGCCATCAACTATGAACACGTATTGATTGAAAATTTGTCCAGTTCTCTACAGATTTAGTAAGTAGTAAGAAAAATGTCTTGGTGTGTTGTTGTTGCTTTATAATGTTGTTGTTGCCTATTGCTTTGCGACTGTTGAAACTTTAATTCTACTGCTCTATTGTCATGAGTTGCTGCCCCCTTGCCTTGCTGACTGTACACTTGTTCTGCAATCTACTGCCAAATACTTCTCTAGAACTTAACACAAATTCTGCTCTGCGCTGTAAGCAGTTAAACTACAAGTTTCAATTTAGATTGAATGATTCATGATTGAGCTGTACTGTAATAATGTAATGTATGTTTTTTATTGTGATGTTCTGATTTTGATTACATTCATTAGTGATACCTTAATCCCAAATAAACTTGGATGGTTTGTCATGTCATTTGCAAAAGTGTGAAATTGTGTAAGCATTGTGCTAATAGCCTAGTCTTTGTCTGTCTTGATGCACATATACATTTTCTGTGAGACTCAACAGTCGCACACTCTTAAACTAACTCAATAGAAAGCACATACAAAACAAGAATAATCAGCAAGAACAAAGATTCGACAGCCAATGGATTGAAATATATTGATAGTTCAGTAACTTTAGGTTACTACTGCCCAAAGTATCTTAAGGATACAAAGCTCCAAATCTCCAATACAATAGTCTTCTCACAGAATTCTTGACAATGCAAAAACATTCTTATATATACAAGGCTTTTGTCCAACACAAAAGAGGCCGCCTTAATTCATTTTGTTTATCTCTATCTACTCTGATATGCTGCTCCAAGTTTTCTGCTCCACTAGTAAGTGTTGTTCCCCCTTCCTGCAGACTCCCCTCTTCCCCTACCCTTTGTCCTTCAACAATTAATTAAATTTGTTCCCTTGTGCTGCTGTGGTTTTCCTCTTCTCTGATATTGCAATAGAGGTTTGGGCTTGAGGTTTGGTGGCCCGTCAGTTTGGTGATATTTTCCTTGTATGCTCATATACCTAAAGATCAGCTCAAATTTGACCTCTTATGTCAATATGGTGTCTGAAACAGTAAAGAACACAATTCTCAAGGCTACTTGAAGCACATGCTTAGTTAGACATTAATGTTTAATTGCTTATAAATGCCCTTATGAATGTGTGGTCTATGATCAATTAATTGCTTATCAATTTAACAAGAGTTATGAAGTGTGAAACTTTTTTGTATAATGTTTGTACATACATATATTAGAGTATTGTATGTCTTTCTTTTTTCCATGTTTGTTCCCAATTTCAGATTCGTAAAATGAAGGCTCTGACTCGAAAAGCAGTGATGGCAAAACGTCGGCGAAATGTTGATTTGGCTTCTTCACATGGTGGCTCATCTACCCCTAATCATACATTACATCAGCATTATTCAACCACAAGAGAACCAGTTGAAATGCTCGGATTAGAAGTTGAACACTTAAATCATGACAAGAATGATAAAGAAAATGGCAAGCTATCGTTTGTATTTGTAATTAAAATTCTTTACCTACATGCTTGATAAGCCATTTTAACATTTGAATTTCTTTGCTCATTTTAGCTGAAAAGGATAAGCCTAGAAGAGGACCCACTATGTGCTACAAAGTCCATGGACGCAGCGAAGAAGAACGCTTGGAAATTACCTTGAATGAGCATGGACAACCTGTTGGTCCGGATGACAGTACATGCAATGAGTTCATTAGCTTCTTAGGAACAATAGCTCGAAAAGCAAATATCCTACCACTGACTGTCAAGAATTGGCCCATACTAAGGAACGAGAAGAAAGAAGAACTTTGGGATTATGTCTTGGTGAGTTACTTATTCAATTAAATAAATATGGTAGAAATGTTTTATAATTGCTTAACTTGTCCTATATGGTTTCTGCTATCATGTCAGAGTGTCATGTTAAACTTTCTTGATTGGCATATGTTATGTAAAAAAAATGAACCCCAACTGTCATTATTGTTGTCGATCTGCCTACATGGTGTTCTGCTTGGCTGCCTGCTACTTTTTAAGATCAGTGACTTGTTTTGTAAGTGCTAGAATAGGTTCTAGACTTTCCGTGAGTTGTTTTCTTATGTTCTTGATTTGTGATTAAGATTAATTAATTGGCAGTGAGTTGTTTAACAGTGCCAATATGATCACTTTAGTATAACTTTTTTTTGTATTGTTGTAGAAACATTTTATTGTCCCAATTGAGGGAAAAAAAATGGGTTTTGCAAACCATTGGTGCTGCTTGGAGAAGGTACAAATGTTATTTAAAAAGAGTACACTTTCATAAATATGACAATGATAAAACAAGGATGATCAAACGACCAAAACTAGTCCCAAAAAATATGTTCCAAGACTTGTTAAAGATTTGGAATGATGTCAAATATGAGGTATTACATTTATACAAGTCTCTTATATTTCCCTGCCTTTATAGCAAATGTATATTTCTTGTCTTAAGAAAAATGTTATTCATTAGTTCACCGTCTTAATTTGTCAGGAACGATGTATGCAAAATAAAGAAAATCGGTTAGTTGGAAAGGAAAAGAACATTATGCTGCATACTTTAGGACCAAAGAGTTTTGCTAGGGTTCGATATAAGTGGGTGAGTTTGTTTGTTTGCTTGTTTACATTTCTCATCACTTTTATTATTGGTTTTATTATGCATTAAAATGATTGACACTCATTACTCTTGTATAGAAAAAGGATAATAAAACAACAAAAAATCCTAGCTTAGCTCAAATGTTCATAGCAACACGCAAGGAGAAGCTAACAAAGCGAAAGCCCGGTGACCTAAGGGACAAATTGATGGTAAGATTCATTGTCATTTCATGTTAATTTTTTTGCATTTAATTTTGTCAATATTAATTTTTGTCCTTTATCTTGTAAAATATAGACTGAAATTGAGAAATTAGATTCAGAGGAGGAGGTTGAAAGTGTGATTTCAACTATTATTGGTTTTGATAACAAGAAAAAGTCTCGATTAAATTTTCATGGAAGAGGTGTTTCATCAACTCAATTAAAGCAGAAGGCCTTGATGAAGGAAGCTGAAGAGAAGCATGCTCAGGAGGCCAGGTTCAAGCTCTACAAAAAGATTATGAGGATAAAAGGCAACAAGATAGAAGGGAGATAGCATATGGTCTTAGCTCCATCCTTTCTCAAATTCAACAACAAAATCCACAAATGTCTTTTGATTTAAGTATGCTTGGCTCTTTATTTCTTGATAATCAATCTGAGAAGGATGGTGGTAGTACAACAGAAATGCTTCGATTTCAATCTTCGGCTTCTACATCCAAGGTAAAACCCTTTTGATTTCTATATACGTAAAGTATAGATAGAAAAGTGGCCAAGGCTTTCAATTTTTTTCTCTCTCTTTTCATTTTTTTTTTTTGAGAGATACTAAGTTAAAATATTTATCTATTTTATTTTATTTTTTGTACAGAGAGATGAACAAGAAGAAGATGAAGAAGGCTGCGAGTAAGAAGAAGAAGAATATGACTTTATGGCTCAATTTGAAGTTGCTTTAACCTTTTATTATTTCTTCTATTTCTTAGTTAGACTAATATTATGGCCTACAACATTCTACTAAACAATAGATTATTTAGATAGATTTGAGGTTGAAAACAAGTTGATAGTGTTTTGGTTGTACTGTTTTACTAATTAATTTTATAAGTTTGGGATTCTGTAGTCAAATGCTTATTACATGTTTTAATGTTCAACATTTTTCTAATATAACAAATTCAAAATAGTACGACACATTCTCACTCCTTTAATATAATATAGTAATATATTGCAATAGAAAACAAAAATAGCCGATTCATTGTAGTCATTTAATTTATATATAACAGTTTTCTAAATGTTGTCTTTAAAATATTTGGCAACACTTTTGTATTATTACTAGCAAATACAACATGTGAAAAGATTATTTAATACTATGACAAAAGGTAATAATTTTGAATCGTCTCCTAAGGTGGCAACAATTTTCATTTGTTGTCTTTGTAAAAATGTTGCCTTAGGTATTATTTTACCTTGGCTTTTAAAATTGTTGTCTTTGTACGAAAATGCGTTGCCTTATGAATAGACAACGGGGGCATAAACTACGCCTCATATGTGTTGCCTTAGATACCAGGCAACACTTTTTTAATATTAGGGAATGGTTTTTCATTGTTACCTTAGCTTCATTTTGTTGTAGTGTGTACAAATGTCTTCGTGCTATCTGTCAAGGTGGCATTGGGGCATTAGGAAGTGGAGGCTTCAAAGATAAAAAATGTAAGAGAGGTCGTTAACTCGATCCCTCAAATTTATTATTCCTGGACTGACAACGTCAGGTATGATGCTTACAATGTTCATTGTAAGATAATGGCTAAAAGACTCATGCCTAGTCAGTCAGTAAGGGCCCATGTCAAGGAACTGATTGAAATGTTCAATCAGACGGATGTCCTTGGAAAACCAATCGATGATGACTCTGCACATGATATTATCTTGTTCTCACTCCATGATGGTTTTGACATTGTCAATCTCACTCATAATGATGAGGGATCGTCGGTGACATTGATCAATCTTTTGCTTAACCATGCTGAGGAGTTCCTGAAAAGGAGAGGAAGCGAATGCTTCTTTTGCGGTAGTTGGCCATGCCATACACCAGGGTGTCCCCACTATACACCAGTGAAAACAGAAGGTAAAGAGTTACTTGATGTTTTCGTTGCAGAAATTAATCTTACTTCATCTTCCACTTGGGTATTTGATACCGGCTGTGGTGCTCATATCATTAATAACGTGCAGGGCTTGAAAGAAAGTAAGAAGTTAGCAAAAGGGGAAGTAACGCTTCGAGTAGGAAATGGAGCAAAAGTTGCTGCACTTGCTATTGGAAGTTATCATTTAAGACTTCCCTCTGGACTTGTTTTAGTGCTTAATAACTGTTATTATGTACCAACAATTACTAAAAACATTATTTCAGTTCCATTTTTAGATTATGAAGGATTTTCATTTGAAATAAGAGACAAATGTTGTTTTATTTCGAAAGAAAATATGTTATATGCTAACACAAAATTAATTAATGGTTTGTATGTCTTAGAATATACAACTCATGTCTACAACATTGATCATAAAAGGCAGAAAATAGATGGTTCAAACCCAACTTACCTATGGCATTGTAGGCTTGGTCACATCAACCAAAAGCGCATCCAGAAATTACATAAGGATGGACTTCTCTCTTCATTTGATTATGAATCATTTGAAAATTGTGAGTCATGCTTGCTTGGGAAAATGACTAAGTCACCCTTCACGGGTATAGGTGAAAGAGCTAGTGACCTTTTGGGACTCATACATACGGATGTGTGTGGACCAATGAGTTCAAAAGCAAGGGGTGGTTTTAATTACTTCATTACTTTCACCGATGATTTAAGTAGATATGGTTGTGTTTACTTAATGAAGAACAAGTCGGGATCCTTTGAAAAATTCAAAGAATTCAAGAATGAGGTACAAAACCAACTTGGGAAAACGATTAAAGCATTACGATCAGATCATGGTGGTGAATATTTGACCCAAGAATTTGATGAACATCTGATTAATTGTGGAATACTTTCACAGTTGACTCCTCCGGGAACACCACAGTTGAATGGTGTGTCAGAAAGGAGGAACAAGACTTTACTTGATATGGTGAGGTCCATGATGAGCTTTACTGATCTTCACATATCATTTTGGGGATATGCATTAGAAGCAGCTGCTAGAGTACTAAACAGAAGCCCGTCCAAAGAAGTTGAAAAGACTCCATATGAGATGTGGAATGGAAGAGTTCCAAAGTTGTCTTTTCTCAAGATTTGGGGATGTGAAGCCTATGTTAAATGTTTACAAGGTGATAAACTACAACCTAAATCAGACAAGTGTTTCTTTGTGGGCTATCCAAAAGAGAGAAAAGGGTATTACTTCTACAATCGCGAAGATAACAAAGTGTTTGTTGCTCGCGATGGTGTCTTTCTAGAAAAGGAATTCCTGTCTAGAAAGCCAAGTGGGAGTAAAGTGGTTCTTGAAGAAATTCGAGACGAGCAACAAATGGATGTGGATAACACCACATCAAAGGCGAGGGCGCGTGAGTCGATTAATCATGCGTCGGAGCGAGCTAATTCGACTAGCGAGACTCCTATCGTCCCACTTGAACCTAGTTCATGCGAAAATCTTCAAGGAGTTGGAGAGAATATTTCTACTGTTGCTCCTACCCCACGTAGGTTTGCCAGAATCAGAAATAAACAGTTTGTTGAGGTTCTGATAACTGAGGATTCTGAAATCTTCTTATTGGAGAATGAAGAACCTACAACCTACAAGCAAGCTTTGGCGAGCCCAAACTCAGATAAATGGCTTGATGTCATGAAGTTCGAAATGGAATCAATGTCTGAAAATGAAGTGTGGACCCTAGTTGACTTGCTTGATGGGGTAAAACCCATTGGTTGCAAATGGGTTTACAAAATTAAAACAGACAAGGATGGAAATGCCTACATCCTTAAAGCAAGACTTGTTGCGAAAGGATATAGACAGATTCATGGTATTGACTATGATGAAACCTTTTCCCCAGTAGCCATGCTTAAGTCCATTCGGATTCTTCTAACGATTGCTGCATTTTTCGATTATGAAATTTGGCAGATGGATGTCAAAACCGCCTTCTTGAATGGGTTCTTGACGAATGAAGTGTACATGACACAACCCGAGGGTTTTGAAGATCCAGAAAATCCTATAAAGGTATGCAAACTTCACAAATCCATTTATGGATTGAAGCAAGCATCCAGGAGTTGGAATCTTCGTTTTGATGAAGCAATCAAATAGTTTGATTTTCTCAAAAGTGAAGAGGAGCCTTGTGTATACAAGAAGTCTAGTGGGAGCAGCATATTTTTCCTAGTTGTAGACACCTAAAAATGTCTCCCCAAAACCAAACCCGATGATAAATAACCTTTCACTGCCTCTATTGGTCGGGTTTAGTATTTAATCCCGAGAGTGCTTAAAATATCGTATTCATACCTTTGAAAGGTCTATGGATTAGTCTTGATGTTTGGTAAAAGCATAGTTTTAATTTTAGCCCAAGCTTATTAATTAATTTTAAGCCCAAACCTTTTTATTTTATTATTTATTTTTGGCCCAAACATTTTATTTATTTTTATTTTATTATTTTCTTATTTTAGCCCGAATAATAAAAGTCAGACCAAAGCCCAAAATTATCAATCGGCACTTAAAAAGCCGAAAGAAATTAGGGTTAAAAATGAATTTAGACGGAAAAATGGACTGGAAGTGACCGTGTCACGGTACAGTCTGACCGTGTCACGGGAACCCTTCCCGTCTGACGGTGGGACTTCCCGTGACACGGGAAGTCTGCCGTGACATGGGACGTTCCGTGTCCTTTCCGCGTAAACCCTTAACGCGTTTTTCATTCCGTTTTCTGAAAATTTCCCGCGTCACTCCAAAACTGTACCGTGTCACGGGAAAGTGTACCGTCTGACGGTTTAGTCTGACCGTGTCACGGTACAGTCTGACCGTGTCACGGGATACTTTTTTAGGGTTTTTATCATTTTAGGGTTCCGTGTGCTCCCTCAGCACATTTTCCCTATAAATACCCCCTCATTTCTGATGTACGGGGCAACCAGAATTTTATTATTTTTGTTTTCTCTCTTCTATGCTGTTAACCTAAACACTAGCCTACCCTTTTTACTTCAAAATTCCTTCTTCAAGCACTCAAAGGAGTCCATATTTTACTCGAGGTTCTGTCCTTAAGCCAAGGCGTGAAAGGTAGAATCGTTTGAGGGTTTGGCCCCAAAATCAACCTTATTTAATTTAATTTAATTTAGTTATTGTTTTATTATTTCCTTGAAGTTATTTAATCACAGTCTGGGTACATTTTATGTCTGAATGGAGGAGCAGTGAGCTGGAAGAGTTCGAAGCAGAGCAATGTCGCAGACTCTACAACAGAATCAGAATATTTGGCTGCGGTTGAAGCAGCCAAAAAGCAGTTTGGATAAAGAAGTTCCTAACTGAGCTGGATATCGTACCAAGTGCTCAAAAGGGAATCGAGTTGTATTGTGACAACAATGCCACCATTGCTCAATCAAAGGAGCCTAGGTCACACTTCAAATCCAAACATGTTGAGAGGAAGTATCACCTCATTCGAGAAATCGTTAACAGAGGAGATGTGAAGATGTGCAAAGTTCATACGGATGAGAATATCGCTGATCCACTTACTAAACCCCTTCCACTACCTAAGCATGAGAAACATGCTAGTGAAGCTGGATTGAAGCAAATAATGTAATTAGAAGTTGTATTTGTTTTTGGAGAAAAATAAGTTACATATGTAATACACTCATTTGCAGAATTATGTTTAATCAGAAATTTTATCATTTCCCTTATTTAATCGTGGTTTCAATATTAAATAAAATGTCCAAAATAATTATGAATTGATGGGATCATCAAGTTGATGACCTGATGAATGAAACCCCACAGGTGAACTAAATTCATATATTATTTAAGTTCCTAGTTCGGAATCATTAAAATGGACATAAATGATTTCTAATAATGGAATAGCATGTAAGATTGATTGGATAGCGCAGCTTCATGGGCTATAGGAGCATAGTGAGGCTCGGTCAGTCACATGGATATGCATGAATGATGCATGATCAAACTATAGACCTACTTTGAAGTTCAAGTATAGAGCTTCCGGATATATTAGTGGATTCCTTTGACATGAGTGGAACATTGATCTCATTCAATGGATGTTATGGTTGTGGTACACTCAAACGTCTGCCCGTAACTCGAGATTATAAAGGGTGTTTCCTGGTTGTTTCAGAAGTTGAGTGGGAGCTTTGGTTGCCACAAGATTGGATTGAGTCTACCTATTAAATATGAATGTGTCTTGGCCCCTTGAAGAGGGAGAATTCAGAAAAATTCATGGACGTGCTCAAATGCATTACATAGTAATCATTTATTCTTTGAATCTCACTCAGTTTTCAAGAAAAGATTTGTAGACTAATATGATCACGACATGAGATGCAATCATATTATCAAATCGACACACATTGACTTAAGAAATTTGAATATTGCGCACTTGTCTCAGACAAGTGGGATATTGAAGGAGTTGTGTCTTCGATAAGTGCAATTACTAGATATATCAAGGATCACTATTATGGAGATAATAAGTTCATTCTCTTGGGGCATCATCATCTGTTGCTAGACTATGAGAGATGATCTTTGGGCTAGTAAAATAGTCCAAAGCCCACTAGAATGGATCCTATGAGGTCACACACAAAGGTATTGGGTTAAGCAAGTAAGAGGCCCATTAATGGGCATTATGAGCACTTAAATAATCATGAATAGGATTGGGCTAGTGTAGTTTGATTAGGATTAGGAATTGGCTTGGTCCTGGACTCTTATTTATGGATGTGATCTATAAATAAGATCCATGCCTAGGGTTGCAAATAGAGAAGTCACAATTAACTTACAGTGAATTGTGAATCAAGACAACCAAAATCCCAAAACCCTCATCTCCCTCTCACGGCACCCCTCTCTTTCCCCCTTGGACTTGCGGTCGGCCACCCCTGGTGGTGCTCGCGGTGGTTCATGGTGGTTCGTGACTAGTTCGTTGTTCATACTTCTCCGTAGAAAGTCGATTGAAGAGTTCGATCGCGTCTAACTAGCATTAGTGGAGGTCTTAATCCGTGCCTGTGGACCAAGTAAAGGAATCACGTTTGAGGTTCTTTGTCTCCCTTGTACTTGCTCGATTACTAGTGGAATCACGCTTCAAAGGTATAATTCTTACTCTTTATGTGTTATGCATGAGATCCTTGGTTAGGTGCTATATGAATATGATTCATGATTATTTCCGCTGCGTAGTACCTATAATTCCCTACAAGATTATGGGTAATGATGAAGCAATGCCACAACCCAAAGGTAGGAAACAACTTACTGTCATGCAAAAAAGAGAGATTGTTTATGATATTTTACACAACATGGGTGGTTAGGATCTGCTAAGAGGCTTTCAGTCACAACAAGCAAGGAAATTCAATGTTCACAAGTCATCAATACATAGATTATTTTAAGACATCAAGAGGCAAATGGCAGAGGGGAATGTGATAGACGTCACAAGCAAGAAGCTTGGTAAAACTGGACCCAAACCAACAAAGTATATAGATGAGTTTGTGCAGTCAGTCCCTTTGTATAAAAGGATAGCAGAGAGAAGCTATGGGGCTTCTCTTAGCATATCACATGTGACCATTCACAAGCTAAAGAAAAAAGGGAGGCTCAAGACACATACAAGCACAAATCACCCAGCCCTCATATCCAACCACAAGGTGGCAAGACTAAAATGGGTGTTAAGTCATCTGTTGTATGTTGAACAGAACAACAAGCCAAAGTTTGAGGATTTGCAGCAATATTTACACATTGATGAGAAATGGTTCTACCTGAACCTAGAGACAAGGAAGTTCTACTTGCTTCCAAATGAACCTAATCCATATAGGTGCCAATAGTCCAGAAAATTCAAGGTAAAAGGCATGTTCGTGGTAGTGATTGGCAAGCCAATTTTTGACAGGCAAGGAAATGTACTACATGATAGAGAGTATGGAATCTTTCCATTAGTTTATGAGACTACTGCAAAGAAAAAAAGCAAGAACAAAGAAGCTGGAACTGTGGAAATAAAGGCAACACAGAATGTAAACAAGGATGCAATTAGGGAAATGATTCTCAATAATGTGATTCCAGTAATCAAAAGAAAATGGCCACCTCATTTGTTTAAGGACATTTGGATTTAGTGATAATGCCAAACCTCATAAAATTCCTAAGGATGAGGAATTCATTCATGCATGTCAGTTAGAAGGGTTCAACGTTCTGTTCATTTATCAACCATCACAAACACCAGACTTGAATGTGCTAGATCTTGAATTGTTCAATGCATTACAATTCATACAGTACCAATCATTCCCTAAGAACTTTGGGGAACTCATTGACAATGTCAAAAAGGCATATGACTCTTTTTATCTTGTACTAAACAAGTACAGTTGGATAACACTACAATGCTGCATGGAAGAAATAGTGAAGCATCTAGTTGGCAACAATTTCACCCCACCACACAAAGGGGACAAAAGGCTGGAAAAGACTAGGCTTGCTACTAGAACAACTAGATTTGGAGAGGGTTTCAGTTCAATAAGCTGTTGAACATCTCAACACTTTATTCATACCAACAAGGGAAGGAAATGAAGAAGATGAAGGGATGCAAGTTGATGTAGATTGAACGCATATGAGACACAAAATGAAGTTGACAGACTGCCACATATAACCAATGAAGATCATGGAAACAAGTGGTGAAATACTAGGTAATATTTATTGTTTTTGGTTTTACCACACTTTATAAGTAATTGGTTATGTGTATTTTATTAAAATTGAGGCCATATGTTGTAAGGCAGTTTGAACAATCTTCTTTTGAATATGTAAAAACTTTTGAACAACTTAATGATATGAAGTTGGTTTGTTTTATGTGCAACAACTGCTTACATTATGTCTGTGAGACACATACACACACATTTAAATCCATCAGAGGGTGTTGGTTTATGACATGAATTGCATAAGTGGATCCCTCAACCAACAACTTGCATATCAAGTTTGTTAGAGCAATTCCAACTTTTCAATTTTTAAGTGTCAACTAAGTCCCTTCATCATTTGGGTTTATTACACAATAGGAGACTCACACATTAAGGGACTCACACATACATGGACTGATGAAGGGACTCAAACATTTAGGCAATGTAGACACCCATTTGTGTCTCCCCAAAACCAAACCCAGTGATGAGTGCCTCTCACGTCGAATCATAATCGAATGAAGTGAAAGTGTGGAAAGTCTAGTGTTTCGGTTAGTTTTTAATTCTTTTCTTTCTCTTTGTTTTTGAAAACCTATTTTAAGAAAACATCCAATCCAATTTGGTTTGGTCCATGGCAAGGGTCTAATAATAGCGTAGTTGGAGGAGGCTTGAAAATAGCTTTCCAACGATATATTATAAGCCCAATTCCGATGAATAATGAGAAAGTTATGGCTAAATTACTAAACTGGGCCCGGTTTGATATTTATGTGCGGCCCAATGATCTAGAGGAGGGCCTAATATTGATTTATCAATCCTGATGCAATTAGAATTGATTTTAGTCTTCTTAATTCTTCTAGAAGGTTCTTTTCATTCCTAATTTAATTAGCATTGATAAATTGACTTTGGTTGACTTTTTAGAGTTTTAATCAGAATAAAAGAAGTGTTTTTTTTAAAAAATACGATTTTGCCCTTCTATACGGCTAAATTTTATTAAAATTAAGAAAATGCGTGAAACTGGTTTCTAGCGCATGACGACAGGATTAGCGCTTGACACTAATGCTTGGCGTCTGGTGCTAGCCTTAGCGCCTGACACTAATGTCTGGCGTCTGGCGTCTGGCGCTAAGTCGTTTTATTCTCTTCAAAACTCTGATTGGTTTTTCTATCTATCCGGCTGATTTTCTCTATAAATAGCCTCCTAAAACCTCCGTTTTCCATCATCAATTCTCATCAATTCTTATTCTTTCTAATTCTTTCTTCTCACCAACTCTCATCAAGAAATTCTTGATTCTCTCTCTCTCTTTCTAAGCCTAGCTTTTTACAAACACAATTCCTCATACATTAGCACTAGACACACCTAGCATAATTCGAAGTTGCCTTCGCCTTAGACGTGAAAGGTTTGATTTCTGAGGGTTTGGTCCCAAATCTAGTCTTAATTTTCTTTAATTCCTTATTTCAATTATTTAATTTAATTCTTTGATTTTATTATTTTCCTTGAAGTTACTAACGCGTGTATTTTGTTATTAGAAAGAGATACGAGGCATCCAAGTAAGGCCCTTTTCTTTTGAGCTTATGGGCAGAGTAGAACAGAGCCGAGCAGATTTCAGCAGAGCAAAGCAGAGCAGAGCAGATTTCAGCAGAGCAGAGCCGAGCAGAGCAGAGTAGAGCAGATTTCATTATTATTATTATTACTATTATTATTATTATTATTACTATTATTATTGTTATTACTAATATTATTATTATTATTACGAATATTATTATTACTACTATTACGATTACTACTACTACTACTACTACTACTACTACTACTACTACTACTACTACTACTACTACTACTACTACTACTACTACTACTACTACTACTACTACTACTACTACTACTACTACTACTACTACTACTACTACTACTACTACTACTACTACTACTATCGCAATTAAAGCCGTACCTAGTAAAGATATGATTATTATTATTATTATTAAATATTAATTATTATTAATATTAATATTATTATTAATTATTAATAATTTATTATTATTATTATTAAATATTAATAATTAATTACTATTATTATTATTTTGATTAAATATCAATAATTAATTGTTGTTATTATTGTTAAGTATTAATTATTATTATTAAATATTATTTATTTATTATTATTATTAAATATTAATTATTTATTATTATTCTTATTAAATATTAATTAATTATTATTATTCTTATTAAATATTAATTATTATTAAATATTAAATATTAATTATTTATTATTATTATTATTATTAAATATTAATTATTATTCAATATTAAGTATTAATTTTAAGTAGAGCGGAGCAGAGCATAGCAGGGCAGAGCAGAGTAGAGCAGAGCAGATTTCAGCAGAGCAGAGCAAAGCATCTCTAAATAACGGGCCTAAATGCTTTAATTGATTTATTGATATTATGATATAGAATTCATGTCTAGGTTGTCATTATGATTCCTAGTATCATGTTAGGATGCTTGATGTTTTGAATGACAACAATGATTCCTAGTATTATGTTTAGGGAAAAGGTTATAATATCAAATATGCTTATTATGATGCTTCCTATTCTCTTCCTAATATTCTTGTTAGTATTATGTTAGAGTTAAAGCTTTAATTTTTATTGTTTAGTGACACGCTAGGGTTTTTTTTTATTAATCTTGTTAGTATCATGCCTAGGATCTTGCTATTATTATGCTTTAACATGATGATGATTCATTATTATTTTTATTATGATTATTATTATTATGTTGCTTGATGTTTATTGTTATTGCTTGATCACGCCTTTTATGCGTGTTTAAAGGGAATTTGTACTTGTAATCATGCTTAATAAGATAATTAATAATCTTGTTAGGGTTAATTTGATAATAATTGATCGCAAATAATAGTTTTGTTTGTGCATTAATATTCAACCACCATAGATAAACATGTTTAGGGTTAATCCTATTGATTGCATGTTAGTCATAAAGCGCACATGAATACGATCAGAATAAAGTAGAGACCTATTATTAGGACAGGTTCAATCTCTTTTAGGTTGGATTTGTACCTTCATCTCCGAACTACCAGTCATGATTCCAGACCTATTGGAGTTGATGATCTCCTGGATCGTTAAGGGGTGTAACCTTCACCTCGTGAACGTTTTACAAGTTCCTAAAACTTGTTGGCGACTTTTTTGCTCTAGCTTCCTTCCCTTTTGACGCCACCATGCTTAAGTGTATGATTACTGTGGGGTTCAAGTTTGGGGTAATGCTTGACATATTCCCTACAGTTTTTGGCGACTCCACTGGGGAGGATTTCTATTTTAATTCCTGAAATTTATTTCGGCAATGATTTAGAATAAGTGGATGAGACTCGAAACGTTCTAAGTATTTCATGTGCGTAATTTTGATTTACATTATTGTCATATACATAAAAAAGATCTCATTGGAAAGACCATCCGTAATAAGTTAAAAACATAGGATTTTTACACATAGGAAATTTGAGGAATATCTTTCACAACTAGGATCGAAATAATGCTGCGCGAAACTGGAAAATTTTATCGAGCACAGAAAGCTGCTGAGGCATGTAGGAACTAGTGTCAGAAAACCCTTAGGGAAGCCAAATCGCGGCGCCGGCCTCTGTTCGCTGGCGCCAAGTTCTTCCAATACTGAGCCAGAAATATGCGTTCTAATTTTGACTAGTTTTTAGCACTGTTTGCTCGATCCTACTTCCTGATTGAGTTTTTCTCACTTTTTTGAAACCCATATGTGTTCTACATATGGACATAATCCTTAGGGAATTCATGCTCCATCTACGTGATTGAACGCTTTGTGCAACAAAGGGTACATCCGAGAATGTTGAATTCACCAAACCATGGAAGCGAGTTTTTAACTCGCAGTGTCCCATCCACTCGCGCGTACCCTTCAAAATGTAAGGCTTCCGCGCGGTGCATCCGGACAAGTAACCATGGACCCTATTTGACTAACCCATATCCCGGAATTTATAGAACTAGAGCCATGGTTAGGTTGCAAACTCATTGCATCATGTTGTGACTACTTGACTACTTGTGCATCTCTTAATTGTGCATACTTATTAAGTGACTAAACTAACCATTTGGTTTGACTTGTGTTTGTAAATAAGTCATAATAAACTAACCAATGACTAATGGGCTTTGTTTAATTAATTGATTAATTAATTTGAGCAAAAAAAAATAAACTTAAAATCGAGTCATAGTTCCTTTAAGTCAACCCCGATTTTTATTCCCGTATACTGCACAAGCGTCAACTTGTTTTGGTCATAGCTGGAGTTCTAGAAAAAACTACGAGTCTTACAACCTTTGGATCTGTAACCCCGAGTTTTATATTTAATTTGGCGTTGGTTTCATCCCAATCAGAGTCACATATCAAAAGTTATAACTTAAATACCACAGTCTATCCAGTTTAATGCATATACGTGAGGTCTTAACTTAGTCTTTGTTCGAGTCTAGTCACATGGTCATGACACGAGTCTTAACATGTCACCTACAATCACTACACTCACTAGTCTTAGCAAACACTTTGTGTATATGTCACCATGACCATGTCTTAGGTTCATGCATGAGTCGGTTTTTTCCGTCATTTGAGTTGGGGGTACATTCTATTCCTAATTTTTTCATGTCTCTCCATCTACATCACCTTTCCATTCTCTACATGTTTTCTCCATATTACAATGTTCATTCTTCTTACCTTCTTTCATCTATTTCATGTTGAATAGAGTTGAGTCAAATAATTAACAATGAATATCCCTAATTTCCCTTTCCACAGTACTTGGTCAAGGAGAGAAGGGCGATTAATCAAGGACAACACCTTTATTCAAGTTCAACTTTTTG